GCACCTGGCACTGTGACTGGCCCAAGCAGTGTAGCTCGTGTTGCTGATGGGTGTCACAGCCACTGCCACCAGGCTGCTGTTAAGAAAGATTGCCAAAAATTGCACTCTATGGCTTGGAAACTGTCTGAACAACTTTAAAAGACAGAAATGCAAGGTGACAGATTTACAAAGGTGGCAGGGAAGGGGTAAGCTGGAAAGAAACCAAGACAAGATGGTGAAAAGGAAAAGAAGGAATATGTAGGGAAAGAAGACAAATGTACCAGGCAGGAAACCAAGTGAAAGGAGGAGGTGAAAGAGGAATCAAACAGGATGGTCAAGAAAGGGACAGAGAAGGAAAGGCAGACAAATGCGGAAAATAGTGAAAAAGGAGCCAGTGGAGGAGGGGGAAATGCAGAGCTTTTCTTCTAAGAGATAAGGGAAAATAAATGGAGTCTGCTGCTTGAAGCAGCCAGCAGCAGAATGAACATATTACTGGGTGTGCATTTCAACAAGAAACGTACATTAGACTGGTAACAAATTACACAGGGCTGTCTTCCCTCTGGGCAGGAATACAGAAAGAATAACTGATATTCTCATAAGTCTTGTGATTTTGGGGTTCTTGGACAGGCAGAGTTGGAAACATACTGAGTGCAGGAGAGCAGTATCCCCTCCTGTGTGGGGCTCTGGCTTTGCCTCACCAGAGACAAATATTCTCTGTATTCTCTGTATATTCTCTGGATCACAGACATGAGATACAGAATTAAATTATTCTTTGGCTTTCTTTTCTCCTGAAGTTCAACAGGATTTTGAAATCCATCCATATAACACTCTTGTCACTTAGCTTGCATGAAACAATCCTAATTGTGGATTATATTTCTTGAATATAACTTTCACTAAAGATGCATTCAAAGAGGACACATAGATTCTGGACAGAGAGCTGTGCTCTCCTCCTTGGATGTTCAGATTAAGATCATCCAAAGCAGCATGCAAACACTAAGGTGGGCACTTACTCATCCTGCCAGAAGAATTTGGTGCAATGGCTATCTGATTACAATTTATATTYCATTAAAAATACAGTAGTAAGCTTTTAAGGCTGCAAGGTCAAACTTTCAGGAGAAAGAAGATTCCCAGGCTCAGGCAGGATAACCCTTCTAGCCTTATGTGCCTATGTACTATGACAGATTTTATTCAGAGGATCATGTGCAATTTTAGCAAGGAATCCCCTTATCATTCAATGCACAGGGTAAGACATTACATTAAATCTTTCCAAAGAACTCTAATCCAGAAAAATCCATCACAGAAAACCTACTGAATGGTTGATATTTAGCAATCAAAGAGGAGTACGAGCCTGTGGGCTGGGAGATGTCAGGCAGTAATGCTTTCTGCAGTGCTCCTGACTTAGTCTGAAAATTTTTAACTGCAATTACTGTCAGGTAAAAAGCACCTTTTTGTGCCAGTTTGGCAGAAATATGTAATGATGGCTTACAGTGTAGATCAGCTGCCAACACAGCCTTGGTGGCATAACAAAGGGGAGCTGCCACCAGCCTTTCCCTGCAGGCTGGCTGTGGGTTGAARTAAATTGTAGGGACAGTGTGTGAGCAGCACAACATGAATTCTCTCCCCACCACTTGCCTCACATGAAAAGACCAGYCCCAGTCCCTGGGGACCAGCCCCAGCATGCCTGGGGGTGCCACACGTCCTCCAGAGCACCAGTGCCAGGGTTTCACATCCTGTGGGGTCACGTTTGTCTCCGTGACAAAGTGAGTAACCATCTCCAGTGCTTTGTTGGGAAAGCCTTCATGAATCCACAGTAGCACTGCAGAGCAGGACACAGGGAGAAAAGGGGAGCACCCTCCCACCCCCACAAATGCCACGGGCTCTGCTGCCAGGAGAAAAAAAACATTTCCAATTCAATTGTTTTCCTTGTGACAAAGCTGAGATTCCCATTCAGGACATTTAAAAGCTATAAATCAAAGCATCTGCAGTAGAACTTAAATTGGTCAAKATCAGGCTTTCCACACAGGCAGGCAAACACACATCGTGGTAAGCTCAAGTGGTTCTAGTGCCTGCTTAAAGCCGTCTTACCGAAGCAAGCACACAGCTGCATTTTCTTTCAAAATACTACTGCAGCCTTTTAAGACAGAGGGGGAATAATCCACATTCTGGCAGTGGGGAATATTTCACAAATCATATATGCTTTGGCATCTAGCCCTTAAAGCCAGGGGCCTTTACTCACAGGCTTTGCTGGGAGAGATCCACCCACCTCAAGTGGGATTAATTAAAAGAGGCATGTATCATGCAAATAGTTTCTGTTTCCTTACAGAAATATTCAGAGCACATAACCCAAAACAGCTTTAGAATCAGAGCGAAGCAAGGAAGAAAATTATTTCCTGCTCTCCTAACTCTTTTCCTCTCCCTGTACATTAAGGGAGGAACAGTGAGAAAATGCCGAGAACTCACCATTTCTGTACAATTGCTTTGATTAAATGCTAATAAAGTAAAAGGAAAAAAAAAAGATATTTTCAAAGACAGGGGCTGTATCTCACTACAAGGTGCCAAATTTTCCACACCAAACGTGTGCTAATCTGCTCGTTGGACAAGGACAGGACCAGTCTCACCCCTGAAAATGATCTTTTTATCTTAAGGCAGAACAGGAGAAAATGGAAACCTTGTATTTCTTCAGCATGTCAGGATTTTCAGCTCCATGTGACAGTGATGGGGGCTGTAACAGAAAGCTCTTTTGGAAAGTGAGATAAACTTTRAAAATACTGCTTTCTTCTCAGGAAGCTAAACTATTTCCCTAGATAAGAGAGATCCCAACACTTCAAGGAATCACTGCAGAAAATGGTGGTGAAGCAGTTAGAGCACAGGGCCCCAGTTCAAAAATAAGTCACAGAAAAAGCTCAAATTTCTACAAGAACTCTTCCTCAAAACTCTTTTTTCCCCCCCTTTTAATATCAGACCCATTTTCTGAGTCAATTTCCTATGATCCTGCAAAGGCTGTTATTAAAACCAGACCAAGCGTAGCTGAAATTCCAGGGCTCAAAAGAAACATTTAATAGGCGCAGGAGCTGGCCACACTGTCGCCCTCAGGTGATTTCCCCTGCAGCCCCTTCCCTGGGATTTCCTCCCTCACACTTTAGTCAGCAGGAGAAACCTGAAGTTTCAGTAGAATGGCAACCCCTTCCTTCATTCTTTAGCAGCTGAAATTTTTTTTATGGCTGAGGCTTTCATAGCTCTAAAAARGAGAACTAGGATCCGGTCCAGAAGATGTGTATTGCAGATATTTTTTCCACAAAAATGTCAGGCAGTCGCACATTCAATTCTGTATCCAGCTACAGGATTTTAAAATCACTGACCTCCTTCATCCACCACTGCTTTTCATGCCACCAGTGGCAGTCCCGAACGGAATCCTTCCCAGRCTCCTTACCCACGTGTCTTTGGAGCGCTAGAAAATTCCTTTCTGGTCTCCAGCCCACCTATCCCTTTGGCATGAGAAAGATGATCATCAGACATGCTCTWGGCAAGCCTCAGGAAAGCAGTGTCCATGCACAACCACAGGCGGGCAGGCTGAAGGAGACGTGCTGGTTTGCAGGGCGAGGGGAGGGGAGCCATGGTTCTCTCAGGCAGCACAGCTGGCAAAACACTGCACCTCACCCCTGGATCTGTCATTTGTCCTCTGATGGCACAGAGGAAACAGCAGGGCCAGTGCCCTTGGGCTCAGCCCCAGGCTCTCCCACTGAGGGGCTGATCCTTGGGCTCYTTTCCCTTCTAGTGTGGGGTTTAGAAAGGCAATTCCAAGTTTCTCCCCTGCAGTCCCTAATGCAAGCTACAGGATATCCACTAAGGTGAAAGAGTGTTTCCTGCTTGGGCATTGATGCAACAGYGCCCTTTTCATAGCAAATACATAAAAATACTTCATTCCTTTGATATACCTCATTTATTTATGCTTTCTATTACAAAGGGTAATTATATTAGAAACATTGAGCCTCAAATTTAACTTACTGACAAGTACGACAGATCTCACCTATTTAAAAGAAAATTCTCCTCCAAAGCTTCTCTTCRCAATTACCTTTTTAAAATTGAAAATGTGCACATTTTATTTTTGTTCCTATTTAACTGGCTCTTTTTTTTTCCAAACTGTGAGTACTTTCAGTGTAACAGTTAATTTATCAAAAATGGAGAAACCCCTTTGTTCCAACATTGCCTAATCTGCCCACGCTTCTAATAATTTAGGAAGTTAATGAAGCCCTTGGAATCAAAATTTTTTTTATATATATACACGAGTGATTATGTGTATTACATCATTGTGAAAATAAACATTAAGGACATTTATTCATTTTATTCATATAATTTATATAAAAAAGAAGTTAATGCCATAGAAAATTATACAATATGCAAAGCTATGTTAAAAGATCCTGATAAATGCAAAGCCCTGGGAAGGAAAGGAAACAATGCGCTGAAGATAATCTTGTTCCTTAACTAATTGCTTCATACCATAAAAYCTACTGTTAGACAACTATGGACTATTTTCAACGGGCTGTAAATTACAGGCTTTGCAGGACAAGAAGCAGACTCCTACCAGTTTGTTCCACTGGTTCTACAAAGAGTGCTCTTGTTCTCTCTCAGAAGAACCCTTACTTCCTCTGGAGAGGATTCAGAATGGCTGAAGTGAGGAGCGCTACCCCTGCCCCTCTTCTGGTGGGGATAGGTGACCTCTCTCTGAGCCCCTATGGGGGCACAACACAACCAGAACTGGGGYTCTTCATGTAAGCAAATCAGTGTCTTCCAACTGACTGGATATTTCTTTAAATGAAAAAATTTCTCTATCTTTTCAAAGATGTGTGTGTGCTAGAAACGGATTCCTCAAAACACCTTTGACTCTGAAGGGAATGCCCAGTTTTGCTTTGCGACAAGACTTTCTCAACAACGGCGCCTGATTTCCCACCACAGTGCAGAGTCTGAGTGTTATGCCAGAGGGAGAGAACCATGCCACCACCAGGAATCCCAGACATCCTTACCTTGGGACGCTGGGAGGAGCCCGGGATGGCCGAGAGGGAACCTGGGGAGGTCCTCCATGAGCTTCTCCGCTGGGAAACGGAGGCAGTGGTCCTGGGCGGAAAGGGACGGGGGGAGCCCCCGACTGAGGACCTGGAGATGGGATTGCAGGAGCGGGTCCTCGGCCAGATAGAGGTCTGGTTGGGGGATTGTTCAATGTAGGTCTCCTCGGAGTTGAAGGACTTGGAGGRGGTGATCTGGTGAAATATGAGAGATTTTAAAAGTTCAGTAAGGTTGGGGTTCGGGAGTTGTTTTTTTGTTTGATTTATTTTACTTTAAAGAAAAGTTAAAATCGTTTTTATGCCTATGTCAGATGCTTTTTCTTGGCATTTTTCTTTGCTGTTAGCATCAGAGTATCACATACAATTAAGTCTCACGTGTTTCCCACTGACAACATACAAGCAAAGAGGTTAAATAAAAAGGATTTTATTATTCAAGTCCTAATAATGTTTTGTTCAGTGGGTTTTCTATGACATGGAGCCTGAGATGCTGAATTATTATAACAGCTTGCCAAAAGAGGCCAAATGGATGCACAATTGGGGTGACAGAAGCAGCTGCTATTTGAAGCATCAGACAAGCTGTAAGTCCACTGGATGCTCTTTTGCARGGCAAATACCCTGTCTGGTGCTCACATAAACATATTCACAGAATTTGTATAGATGGGAAAATGTTTTGATTTCTCTCACAGWTGTCCTTAAAGACCTGGAGAGGCATCTTCCCAAAAAGACAGGCAGGCAGGGAGCTCTTTATGCTGAATTTCRTGGCAATCCAGATGTGAGGCTCCTCACCTGCGTGCCTGCTGAAGCCACGAGTCGTCGACAGGAGGGGGAGCAGGGGTTGAGACAGTGCTCGTGCTGATGTCACCAATGATGGCCAGGGCCTCCTTCAGGGCCTGGTACATGCGCAGGGTCTCGTCCCGTCGCTGCGCCTGCTCGGCTGACTCCTCCATCAGAGTGTTTTGGTCCTCAGAAGAGTACAAGTGAGCCAGGAGCTCTGCGTTGATAAATTCTTTCACCTATTTCATCAGACACAAACCAAAAAAAAACCAAACCACCAAAGAAATAAACAAAAATATCCATGGAAAACACAACTCTGAACAAATACAGAGGACACTTAATCAGTTTCTCTTATTACCTTACACCAGTTCTACTGGTTGCCCAATTCTACATTAATTTCAACGACTCCCAGGAGCCAGCTACCATTTTGGGCCATTTCTAAATGGCAACTCTGTCAGATTCTGAATAACCCATCCGCACACATTCAAACTGAAGGGAGAAGTTTCAGTAATCTAATTTACTATATTGATTTCCTGCTTTCCCTGCCCTGGTTATGGAAACCTGGGCCACATTAAGAGACATAAAAAGCTAGAGGTACTCTGATTAAATAAGACTGTGGTAAATAGACCAACTGCTGACCTACTAAATCCTTGCACTTGAGACTTTCGTTGCTGTTCTGATCTATTTCTCATCTGGCGCTTTGCTCCATAAAGTTTTTTTGAGCTGGAGATACTGACGATAATACATTCCCAGGATTCTGATTACATAAACCTGAGCTCCCTTTGCACAGGGGTTTGTGCTAGTTTTGTGATTGAAACCCTGACAGTGAGACTAAGGCAATATTTGTGTTCAGACAAGGTCAGTGAGAGCAGTCAGACAGCGCAGGCTTGGGACCCGTTCTGGTCACCAGCAATGAGAAGGCRGCCAGGACAGACCTCACAGGGAAACAAAACCATATTGCCTGGGCTTGGCTGTCATTTCCCATTCACGTATGACAGGAGATGCACAAATTCTTAGCAAAGCCTGCAAAAATTTTCCATGAGTTTCATGCTGTTTTCCAGTAGATGGTACTGATCAAGAGCCAGAGTACACTACTTTCCTCATGATTGCCAAAAACTCCACATTAAAAACAGATATCATAGTTAAACAGCATCAYATTCTGCTCGATGAAATGAGTGTTTTAATGGCACCACTTCAAAAAAAAGAAGTCCTAAAATCAGATTAAAGCCAGAGCTGATTGTAAAAGCATTGTTAAACCACAACTATCTGTTTGAAAAAAATCAGTCTGACAATTATCATGAGATGTCCCTGTCTGTCACTGGCAAGGGATTTGAGTAAATCCTTGAACTCCTCTGGAAAGGGAAGACTGCTRTGTTAAAAACAGTTCTTGGATCAGCCTCCTGCCCTCCTGTGCTGTACTAGACAGAGAAAGATCTTCCACAAGAGCCACTTTCTACAGCTTGGAAATGGAAGGGAAAGTGATGCTTACTCACATGTTTGCTCCTTTCTGGAAAGCAGGCTTACAGGAATGGTTTAAAACATTCTGCAGCACAGACATCAGGCCTGCCTTCAAAGCTGAACTGTAGCAAGCACCCAAAAGGCAGTGCCCCAAACCTGCCCTGTCACTCTGAAACGGGGCAAGGTGGGCTTGGAACTTCAGCAGCAGGAMGACAACAAATGTCACTGCCTCAAATGCAAACACAACCCATTCCTTAATTCCATTCAGTTTCCCAGTAACAAGCAGTTTGGAGTTTTTCTACTCAGCTGAGATCACTATCAGCACTGTTTATGGAGCATACACTGACTACTCTTAAGACCACCCCTCTTGTATAATCCAGGAAACCAAGGCACCATGAAATACAAATTCATAAATGTGTGTTTTGTTTGGGCGTGTTTGAATTGGTAATGGTAACTCAATGCAGTTTTGTGTGGTAAATGTATTTTCTTTTAAGGTAATCAACACCCACCCTAAGGGAAGAACAAGGAATGCACTTGGAATACAGTAATCTAGGTTTAGTCCCCGAAATATGCTCAGGGACAACATCTAATTATTTTCTGTACACTGAGTTTGAATCTGATACCTTCCTTGAATTGTAAGTGCTTGTTTACGGGCCCACAAAGTGGAAAGGAAGTTCTAGGAAAACTTGGGAGGTTGCAATTGTCATGGAAACAAATTCCTTGGGATCCATTTGTTTCCAGAGTTTTGGAGGCAACATGATGGGGCAGCAGCAAATACAGAACATACTCATTAAGGGGGAAGGAGGGAGTTTTCACTTAACTCCTGGTGCATGTGTTGGACTCCAAGGAGCACACACACAGCTGAACAGGACCCACCTTCCCTCACAGTTCCACACCTTTCCAGGTCTTTGCACAACCTTCTGGAAGGGCTCAGCACTCTTAATTCAACCATTTCTTTCTCTTTTTAATAGCCCCGATTTTTAAAAATTTTTATATTAGCTGTTGTTTTCAATACGGTATTTTACTGCCTATGCTGTACAGAAACAAATTCCTTAATGCTTGTAGTGTCACTTTTCACAGCTCTTTAAGATGTTTTGATTCTTTGCCACAAATTTAAATTTTAGGATAGAGGTGTAGGCCTTAGCTCACTAGGAAGCCCAAATGCAGCTTGGGACTGTGAGGTCAACTGAAAGGTGGCTGATATTTGAAGTGTGCTATTTCTGTGTGTCACAGCCAGCCAGCATGGCAGGTTTTATCAATGTCACCAACAGCTGATGAGACTGAAAGTACAAAATCTTACAGTAATCTACTTCTGAGTAACGCACACACTTCAGAGACCCCTAAACAATTCCATATGAGGAGGTGAGTGTCAGAAATTTTAATGTAAGCTTTCAAAAGCAAYTGCTCACTGAGCTGTGCTGTTTATGAAATGAAAGCTAAATCCCAGCCTTTGCAAGGGCACTGGAGATGGGCTAAGTCAGAGCAGTGAGCTGCTAGCAGTGATCTGGAAGGAGGAGTGAGAACACACACTCACCTTAGAAAGTCTAGAGCATGGCTGRTTTCCAGAAAAGAGGGCAGTACCATTGTTCCCATGGTTTGGTTTTTTTTGTAAAAACACCCATGACTACAGTATTACTTAGATCCTGACTCCCCTAAACCCAAAGAAGTTAATGAAAAATCTCTTGCCCTCATGCAAAAACTCTGCTGCCATTATACGTACCAAGAAATCCCACTGACATTTCCTGTCCAACCAACCAACTCTTAAGTGCAACACAGATTCCACAGGAATAATGAAATCCATCAGATGAAGGCTAGAGGTGGCTCTGAGTCAAAAGTAAATGCTACCTTCTAATCAGACTTGCCTCACAGCACATTGCACTGGTAAAGACTGATTGGTTTGATGACCTCTAAGAAACGGTGCTGCTCACAACTAGCAGGAACTGTGCTACCCAGTAGTAATTTCTATGGCACGCTAATATTAAGCTTAGTTTTCAGCAAGATCCATTCAGAACTCGGCCAGGATSTGAAGGCTGAGATCCCACTGCAGTGGAAAAACAATGGTAACTCAAAACTGTTTTTTTAACCAAATAAACTTCAGATCTAAGAAAGAAACACACAATAAATCAACCAACCACATCTGCTTATCTAAACAACAGTGTCCAAGACTTCTAGATATATTTCTTGAAAATGGGAACCTGAAAATACAAAGAAACCCAAACAAAATAAGAACCGCTTTATGAAACCATGACAAAGGCCTGTAGATTGAAAATCAAGGAAGCACAACTCTGCTGCTCTCACAGACTGCCCAGATGGAAGTCCCAATTTCTTTTCCCATTATATCAACAGCAAGACACAAAAACCAAAACAAAAACAAAATCACCCCTACCTTAATTTACCTTTAAATAATAACTTACATGCTAATCAAGATGTAAATTAACTCAGTCTTTAGCATTTTGGGGTAAGCACTCAAGGCAGTGTGCTAACCTTTGAGAAGGCTGCAGAACTTCCAAGTACTCTGGGATATGGGAATATTTTTTTTAAGAGTGTGACATTTATTCTTCTCTTTAGTACCTGCTGTTGCTGCAGTATTCAGGAGGTGTGTTTGAGAGTAAGAGATTTGACAGACATGTTGAACTAATTTAGAACCCTGGCTGCTACTTACGTTATTGATCATAAGATGCATGATTGTTTTCGGTATCAAATCKCGGATACATTTGTTAATAATAGACATGTAGGAGTCCACAAGGTTTCGAATTGTCTCCACCTGTCTCTCCAGCTGGGGGTCCATTGAAAAATTATCTGCTTGGCCATTCTCTTCAGTTTCAGTCTACACAGGAGAAAAAAAAAATAAGTTAAGCCTTTGAGACTGCAGTAAACTGGAAATATGTTGGGGGAACAAAACCGGGACTAAACTGTAGAAATCCAACAGCATAACTCATACAGAGACTATCCACAGGTTAAATATGAAGTATTGGCCTGCTTAACATTAGTGTTCAGCATCATGAAATYTGGACCTTTGAAGTTTAATGCCATTGAGAACTTTTGCACAAAGTACATTTTTTATTTCCATATAAATCTGTAATTTCGTATTAAAGTTTTCAGACAAAAACACGTGGTGGTAAATGTCACACCAAGAAATTATCTCAGATCACCTGCTGAAATACTTAYTATCAAATCTTTTGCCATTCACATTCAGCCAGCTTGACCCATGCAAGAAAGCAGCACCACAAGTCTGGATTTTTAATTTTACACTTCYATGGGTAAAACCCACCCTTGTTCTTTAAGGCTGACTCATTTGTGACAAATTTTGCAGTTCAGCCTCAAACTTSTTAGAGGTGAATAGCACCTATATAAACAAAGGATTTATGAAAGATAACAGCAAAAGAACCATTGCTTCCAGTGCACAAGGCTGGATTATATATTACAGGTCTCTTTGTCATTGGAAACTGAAAGGCCTATACTTTGCTTCAGTTTGGCTGTAAAAATAYAAGAAACCCTAAAAAAAGAATAGTAACCTTTTGATGAAAATCAAATTRCTGTCTGAGGCACAAAGATGCCAAAAGAATGGAATTTCTACCCAGCAAGTACAAAGAAAAATGTTCCCTGAACTCTGATATATAATACTTCTCCCTGAAAACGACCGCCAGAGCCTTATTAGCATGAACTATAAAATCTAAATCTGTTCTGTGGGTACCTAGAAGCATAAAATCATAGATTCACAGAATGGTTTGGGTTGGAAGGGGCCTTAAARCTCATCTCATTCCAACTCCCGCCTTCCAGGCAGCGACACCTCCCACTAGACCAGGTCACTCAATGCCCCTCCAGCCTGGCCTTGAATATGAAGAAACAGAAAGCACTTGCAAAAATGGTATTAGCCAATAAGGAGAAAGAGTTATGTATCAGCCAGAGCCCTGCCAGCACAGCTCCATTTACAATAGAGCTTTTAGCTAAAATTGGCACATCGCTGGTGCTTTCAAGATTTCTGGAGCAGCTGAGATCAGTATCAAACTTACCAGTGAAGGGCCATTAGCGCTAAATATGCAAACATATTACCAAAGAGGCTTCTCCCTGCATGAAACTCCTTCTTACTGGGCCAAGAAGGGATTCCTGGCTTCATGTCCTAGTGCARGGTCTGCTTCTGCTCACGCAGCATTGGCAGGTAAACCACTTGTAACCTTTTCAACTACAGCTTGGTCAGTCCAGTCTAAATGAAATGGTGTGTTTGTGATTTGTTAAGTCATAGCTTTGGTAAGAAATAGAATCCAATGTACCATTTAGAAACAAAACTAAGTGTTTGTAAAAGAACTTCCAAAAGTACAGATCGATTACTGCAAMAGCAGATAATCTTTAAAAATAATTAGCAATGCTTCCTAAAAAYCTTGTGATTGTGGAGGACTGAATGAGTTCTTGATGAAAACCAAGTTTTCAGTGCTGTAACACTGTTCAATACACTACCTTATAAACCTTAATCTTTTTGTTAATAAACTGCATATACCAAAATATCACAGTGTGCTGACTATTTTCCTCAGCCTCCATGTCTAAAGAAACATAATGGTARTTTTCCCTGTGAAATAGCAAATAAATAGAAAAACATACATCTGCCATAAGCTGCAGATTTTAGCTAAATAACTCCAGACCAAAAATGCGCCCTTCCCAGTTCCCCTGTATTTGACATCTATTCTCTTTCTTTTCTTCTTTGCTGTCAATATAAAGTATAGTTTGTTCATGGGTTTTTTTCCTTTTCTTTTCACTGTTTAAATTACAGATTGCAATAAGATTCCTAACTGGCTAAGCAGCRAAGTGACAGATGTTTATCATTATCCTCATCAAGAGAACGAAAAGTAAAAATAGTAATTTGTCTCTGATCTTTAAGGCAAAGGCTAATAGTCTCTTGTTTGAAACTGTAACAGAGCTGACTTCATACTGTTGATTTATTTTCTCTGAAATCAGAAAAGATCAATCTTTCMTGACTTTACAGTAATTTATTATGAAAGCTTCTAGCCATAGTATTCCTAATGATTTGATGTCTCAACTGAAGGCTTTTCATGCCAGAAACCATCTTGTTTGCATCGCATCATGCAGATGGAAATCTGCTTCCAGCACATTTCTGTGCCCTACAGGACACCTACAAGCATTAGAAAGCTTTCTTTGCTGAGCTGCCTCTGCTCTGTGCCAACAGCAGCAGCCAGAAATGAGGCTGCCTGCTAAAGCTGGGCATCCAAGTGGTTGAGCTGCCCTCTTCCACCTCCACTCTTTCACAACAGCTCACCACAGTGACTCCAGCTTCAGTGCAAGCCCCTCTCAGCCCATGCCACTCTGTTCTAGAAAGGCCCCTGCAGTAAATAAACCGAAACCAGAACATGTGAGCAAACCCTCACAGCTCTCTGACCACTGTTGAACAGAACAGTCAAGCTGAGCAGGAAAGGAGAATGAACAAGGTGGAAACAGGTTTCCATGMCTCCTTTCCCAACAGCCAAGGCAGCCCCAGTCCTTTCCATGCTCCTCATCCTCGAGCCAGAACCCACTAGTTCCAACATCAAGTGTTAAGTGACAGCATATGAATCTGGACTAAGTTTTTTAGTCAGTTGACTCTTGCTTAATACTGCTATTAATTGTTGACAGGAATGGAATATTACTTYTTCAAATGAACACAACTGCAATTACTTTACAGAGTTCTGTAAAGCTCCCACAAAGAAACTAAGGAAGAAGCTAGAGTGCTAAAAACCAGGTAAAGAAAATACACTCATCTCGAGAAACTCTAAATCAGAGTATGGGATGAAAACACACCAAAGCTACAAAGAAGCAACAGGTGAAAAAACCCCAGAGAAATACATGGGAGCCAGGATGGTGCTTCCATTTATAYACACAGACCCACAGAGATCCTTTCTTTCTGTTCTCTACACTTCAGAAGATTAAAAATATCAATCCCTTGCACTCTGCTGTGGGTCTCACATGTCCTTCATAAGCTGCTCTGTGATCCCTGCATGGAAAGGTGCTACTGAAACCCAAGGTACATTACTGCTACTCTGCAACTTCCCAGCATTTAGGCACCTTCTGTGCTAAGAATGTGTTAAGGATTAACTAAAGTGTCATACAAGAGCAGACTGAAAACTGCATGTGAAATCCAAACCACTGAAGTTTGTGGGAATTTTACTGCTGGCTGCAGTGGGAATAGGATTTCATCTGACATATGCATTTCTACCAGAARAGTTTATCGATCTTCTGAAGATTGTAAACTCTGCTGCAAGAGAAATGATTTAGTGTGGTGCAGGGGATGTGGGCAGGAGGAACTGTGTGCAATCCAAAACAAAGGAATAATACCTTAGACTACCAGGGTAACGTTCCTGATTGTAGAAATTAGAAGCAAGTTGAAGAAAGTCCCAGGAAAACTCAATGAAAAGTGATTCCTTTTGAAATTCACAGCAAAACTGGGTAACAAGCTGAAAACAGTCCTGAACTGGCCACACAGAGAGAGCAATACTTCTAATTTCCATGATTTCATTACATTCAGGGCAGCTGCCAACATATTTAAGAATGTCTTGTATAACATTCCTGATGTTAGTTCCAAGAAGGAGCATTTGTCTAGCATTTTCCTTGGAGAAGTGTATCAACCAATTTTCTGTAATCAAAAAGGCATTCTATTAAGAATGACCAGGAGGAAGCAGACTGGAAGGTGACTGACTTGGGGGTAAAAATCAGAGCAGCAGCAAAGCTCTGTACAGTAAGAAATACATCCATGCTGCAGTAAGAAATTACTCATTTAAAAGCTGCTTTCAGCTCTTTCATTTACAGTTGCAAGTTCACAACAACAACMACCACCTGAGAATTAATTATTCCATCCAGACTGTATTTATGTTTTAATTCACAGCTGCTGAAAATATATATAAAATCTATTTTATGTACCCCTGTCCAAGTAAGTTTTTCCTTTAATGCACCAACACTCAGCACACTGCAGTTGTCCTAACCCCCCCTCTGCTTTTTCCTAAATCTTTACAATTGATTCTCTTTTCCTTGCAGTTTGATGCTGGATATATAATTTAGCTAAGATCCTCTCAGCTGTACATAGTGTGCCTTTTGCCAGAGGACTGCTGAAACCACATGRTGGCTTCACACAGCGAGGTTTTCTTACTGGAAGGAACCACAAGTAAATGACAATACATTACTTTTGTGTATTTACAACAAAGCAAGCTGCAGAAAAAGAACACTTCCCGGGTAGTTTGGAAGCTGTCCTTTTCCTTCACAGAGGGTGACTTTGCTACTCTCTTCCATGCTTTCAGCATCTSCTGACTTTGTACTGCTGTTCCCTTTACTGAGCCACCCACAGGCTGCCCCTTTGAGCTACTATGCCTTCATTGGCAGCCTTGAACTTCTCTAAGCAGAGGTTATGATCTGGCTTTGCCTCACACAACCATCTCTCTGACTTCATAACCCCTAGAAGGATGATACACCCTAGTGCAGTTTGRGTCACAAGTATTTAACTCTCTGGATTACCTTAAACCATCATTGACTCAGATTCTTCTCTGTGGTTACAGACACTGCACAGTACAGACTGCTAGCTAAATCCTTCTACTGAATGCACATACTGCTCCCCAGGCACCTACATGGCTTTAACCATCCCAAATATTTAGAATCTATGTCAGACTCTCTCCCTGCCTTTTTCAGTAAAGGTGATTTTGAACGATGAGACTGAGAGGAATGATATATTACCAGAACTTCAAGAAATCTGGACTTACTTTCAACTTACAGTTCTTAACAGGTTGGTAATTAATCATGGCAAGTCAATCTCCTTTTAAAGCAGGGATTCAGATCTTATGGGTRAGGTATTAA